ACAACGACGACCACGACAATACGAGATAAGTGATGAGGCAGAGACGCAAACGACGAGAACGGGGCAGCAGCGACATAGGCGAATACGAATGTATTGCAGCTAGCTAACGAGCGAGCGACAAGAGTAGGAATTACGAACAAGGAAAATTTTTTAAATGTATATTTATACATATCTAATTAACTTTTGATTTACTTTTAAATTATCTTTGCAAAGTCTTAATCTCATCAGTATTGCAATGCAATTTAATAATATGTGCTCTTTTTCACTGAAACACACACCTTATTTGATTTTTCGTTTTTTTCTTTTTCGCTGTCTCAACTTTTCACAATTTTCAAATAATCACTTTACCGTTCGCTAGGCACAAAATTTTCACTCACAATCAATATAATGTACCTTTACACACCTTTATAGTTATTTACGCGATTTAAAACGCAATTTTTAAAGGAATTTCTGGATATTTTCACAATCAATTTTCCCCAAGTCAAAGTCAGAAATCACGTCATGGCTGCCACGTCCAAGCAACAATGAATCGAATATTTCTCACGTCGGCCCACTTCACTCGTTACGTCTATTCACTCACACTCGTTCGCTCAACAACTACGTCGTCGCTCACTGGGGGATGCTGTGACATATGGAACACCTTCAGTGTTGCCAGAAAATTTTGAGGCTAATACCAAAATCATCGCACAGTTCCATAAGTAACGTAACTTTTCTTCTTACCGTTTTTCCCATATATGTAATACTTCTATATTGGCAGTAAGCTAACTTCTCAACGTGTAAGCATTCCGAAATCAAAGCGAGACAGTCTAGTACCGTTTTTGTCAATGTATTGTGTACTTGAGTGCCGTTTTTGTATATGTGTTGTGTACATGTTTATTTATAAACGTATGTATGTGTTCCTTTTCTTTCGTACGTGTTTATTGATATATCTGTACTGTAGTGTTTTCGGACGGTACTAGCTCTTACTGCCAATATAAGAGTATTACCAGGGATGAAAAAGTAGGTACAATTGTTTCACTGTTTATTCGACGGTGAAAAATTTTTATTTAAAATTGCCTGATTATAAAAAGGCAATAATATGACCATCGAAGAAGAAAATAAAATTAAAAATGGCAACGTCTTGATTATAAAAAGGCAATAAGATGAACATCGAAAAAGAAAATAAACCTAAAAATGGCGGCGTCTTGCGCTTATTTGCAAATAGTATCACTAATCAATACTTATTTGCGTGATTTAGTTATTTGCAAATAAAAAATTAACTCAGCATTTATACGGCAAAGTTTACCATTTTGCAAATTGTTATTTGCAAATAAGACGTGCGTATAAACATAGTAACAGTTTCTCATATTAGAGCTTGGCCAAAATATTAAGTTAAGTTACTGAAATTAAGTCTAAACTAACTGAGCTTTTAGCTGCGGCGCATTAAAATCATTTATTCGCCTAAGGATTACACACAATTATCACCCATAGCTATATTCTTTCGGGATCGAATTCATCTCAATGCCCTACCTGAGGTGGATGAGGTGGAAAAAATCTAAAAAAATTTTGTATATAGTTGGAATCATGATAAAAACATAACAAGGTAAAACCATTGAGAGGCAGTCTGACGTTTGCCAACAATATAATTTTAAAATCAAAACTCAAACTCACACACACATTCTCATTTTCAATCTCAAACAACAACAATTGTGAACAATTTAAATTTTATTATTTTCAATTTTATGATTTTAAAATGTTGGCAAACGTCAGAACAAAATCATGGCCGACGAATTGAGAGAATGAATTTACCTTGTAATGTTTTTATCATGGTTGGAATCATCTAAATTTCAAATATTTATAATTGCCTTATTATTTAGTGTAAGTCAAAGAAGTGTTATTAGGATAAGCGAGCCGAAAGCCATAGATGCTAGCGCTCCTCTTATAATGTAAGAGTTATCACTCGTTCTTAATAATAATAATAATAATAATACAAAATAATAATAATAATAATAATAATAATAATAATGATAATGTATTAGGCATACCAGACTACCAATTTTTTTACAATAATCGTACGGCATAGTACAAACTGTCAATTTTAAATGTACTGAAAAATTGGGAATCAATTCAAAATGATAAAATTGTCTGTAAGAATGGAGAAATTTTCTAAAATAGCTAATTCGAAAATTTCTATATCTAAACGTCGAAAATAACAACTAAATCAAGCTACAAAAGAACTCAAGTGGCAACACTGAGCACCCTATAGCGCAAGTACAAACGACAAAAGCCGCACCAAGAGCTGCTTGGGAATGTTGAATCCCAACGAGCCACCACCACAAAGGGTCACAAAAGCTAGCAATGGGTAGACTGAAAACTACGAAAATAAACGCAAACGTGCTGCGAATTCTTGTACTCAATAAACTGTCAAGTTCCTTAGGGGAATAATCGGAATATTGAAACAGTGCAAGATGTATGAATATGCGAGCAGCAGCACACGTTATATGTCATGTAAATATCTCGTTAATAAGCGCGTGTAAAAGAGCCAACATTACAGTTATAAAAAGATCACCACTTACGAAAAGATAACAGGTATATATGTACATATGTAGGTAAAATAAATGGTTTGCAACAGTATGAAAAATTGACAGCTAATTGAAAAAGACAGCGGAAGCCATTCGCTAAAACATATCCATATGTATGTATATATATGGCTTATATACATAAGTATGATTCCTAATTATGGATTAACATGAAACAATTAAATTTTACTTTATGTAGTGTGTATTCAACGTGAGAACTTTTTCAATAGCAAATTTTACATTAATACATAAAAATATGTGCTTACAAGTTGGCGAGAAGCAGGATTTTAGAGCGTAACCGCTAACTAATTGCTGCAAATGGGAGGAAAAAAAACCTTTGAATCATTTCGAATACTCCAAGGCGAATCTATAAATTCGCCTTGGAATACTATGCACATAGTACATATGTATGTATGTATATAAATATGTATATATTTTGCAATTCATGCTAAAAATCACCCAATCAGCCGCTCTATAACTCGTAATAACAAGTATGCACGTACACATTAATTTGTGTTGGCACCATCGTTTTGACAAATCGTTCTCAATATTAGCTCGACGAGCGGAGAAAAGTGTTCCACTGTCAATTATATTGTTTACCATTCCCCGACACATTTGTTATCAATGAGAAATGAAACGACATTGTTTCCAATTCGGCTTATTTCTTTTTAAAGTATTTTTTACAGTGAAAAATATACCAAAAAGAATTTACATATGTAAAAAGGCTCACTAGTTTAACGATTAAGCAAATTATTTTACATTTTACAACTCTTATTAGGGCCGTTGTTGTTGTTGTTGTAACAGCATACAAATTCCCCAAAGAGATTTTGGGGAGTGTTGCTGGAGTGACAGTCCTTGGCCAGATATAAATCTGGGTCGTTCCGGTTACGTAGACCCGACTGTCGTGGGAACGCTTACTAGGCCCGTTTTGTAGACCGCCTATTAAAATTTTACTTTTTGTTAAACAAATCGACTACTTCATCGACTGCCTGTTATATGCATGTGTTTGACGATCAGTCAAAGCACCCGTTAACTTTGAAAGGCAGTCTAGGAAACGATCCTTAATTCAACTAATGTTTTTTGTGAACTAATAATCAAGTTTGTGCAATTGACTATTTTTCAAATGTGTTCTCAATGCGATTTTTAAGACCTCATGAGTGCTACGCACGTTTTCTTTTGTTTTGTAGGGTGAAACTCAGAACATATATATCATAAATGAGTTATCCGTAGTTCAAAATTTAGATAGCGCAATGACCACAAATCGCATAAATTAATTAGATACATAGAAGAAAAAATTATGTATGTACAAAATCTAAAATTTGTACTTACCGTGCACATACATATGTATGTATTAAAAGCTGCTTCAGACATACAATTATTAAATAAAACAAATAATAATTCAGGGCTTAATTTCATGGTAGTAGTGCACTTTACGGGGACCAGGTCAAAATAGACGGAACAAATCGAGTGGTATCAATCGACGTGTTTTAACGCGAACAATAACAATCCGGGAGGGGAGGGGGGCGGGAGGGGGGGAATTAAGATTTTTAATTAATTTAAGAGTTATTCGGAAAAAACACTTGCACTTTGCACTTTTCGCACCATGTTTTAATGAATTTGATGCAAATAAATGGAGTAAATGAAAGTTGTTCTCTGCAAAAGGTGTTCAGCCCCTCTTCTTTGGCAACACAGAAAGGAGAATTATACTGCCTGAGGGTTATAATCCCTAAGTGCGGCAGAAGGCCGCCTACGCAAAAAGGAGTTGGACGCCTGGTTCCGCTAAAGTGCACTTTTACCAATTTCATACACTTATTGTTACTAAATACCATAATATTATTTCTACTTTAGTACCTCCTATTAAATAACATAATTTGTTTTATATTTTTGTCCTCCCTAACATTTGAACTTCTGTTTTGATTCCCCAAAGTTCCATATCCGACACGTTTCGGGCAATTTCAAATGCATTTTTCCCACAAAGCGAGCCCACTAAATTAACGTTGACATCAAAATATGTGTAAACAATATTAAATTTACGTATGTCAGAAAGAGATAGATCATGTATTAAAAACTAATGAAAATGACGAAAGCGTAAGGCGAAAATGAAATGAAACAACCCAAAGCTAACGAAAAATGGAAACTTGTGCAAATTTCACAATTTCTTTTAATCACGTTCTAAAAACGTGTACAAAAAAATACTTATGAAAATTATCAGCCTGATAAAATTTGGCGGCAATTTTTCACACATGACATGAGAATGCCTGTAATAGTAACGAAAACGCGGAACACAAGAAAGCAGACAATTGCTGCTGAGGTTGCCGATTTCAGCGCCATCGCTTTCGTTGCGCCCTCGTACGCATAGACGTCGAAATCGCCAAGATTGACCACAAAACTTTTTTCACAACTTTCATTTCACAAATTAACGCTTTAAAAATTTCCACTTACCTTGAAAAGTATCGTCATTCTCATCTTCAGATGCCATTTTCACGATTATTCACAAATTTCAAGTAATTAATTCACAAAAAACTAGATTAATTTATAAAAATTCAGCACTACAAATTCAGTACGTCAGAATTCACTCACGAAGCCGCTTTAACAATTAATGCTGCCACTTTGTGTGAACACTGTCAGAGTTGTATTTCAAGAGTTGCCACACTATTTATGTATAACAAACTGAAACTTTTATAAAACAATACACATGGTATACATATGATTATTTGCGAAAACCTAAAACGAATCTTTTTTCTTTACCATTTTTATATCAAGAAATGTAACTTTTCACCGTTGTTGACTACTTGGACCAATTCTTTTTAATCCTTTTCACTCACCAACTCACTAACTAATGATCTATGATCCTTGCCAAGTGAAAGTCTCAGGTTATTTTGTATACCATGATTCCAATTGGCTTCGAAAGATCTGGCATCAGCTTGAAACGTCAAATTTTATTGAGCAGACGAAAATTTTTGAGACGATTTTCAACGTCTTCATGAATTTTATTGCATAAAAACTGTTTTAATCCAGATAAAACAATATATTCGGCTTTGGTAAATAGTATTTAAACATTTTTCAGACCAAATTAATTGCGAATTATGTCCTATTATACGCGTAAGGAGATCGATGAATTGCACCCTGACATTGCAGCTTTGACAAAGGGAGTAGCTGCTAGTGGCGAAGAGGATCGCGTCATAGGCACTATCGAACACTGTTTACACAATGGATATGACCGACGACGCATTGCGGAAAAACTGGAAAAGGTCTTGGACGCAAAACAGAGCTCTAGACTAGCGGATAAATTGCAAGACAAACTAGATGAATATCGTCGTAAAGCCAAAAAACGTAACGCCAGTGAGGAAACTGGTACAGAAATGCCGAAAAAGTCTCGATTCGATATGAAAGAGAAGATCAGTAAAGCTACGGCCGCACCCGCTTTAACGCCATTGGCCGCAGCTTCCGCGGTTGCGGCAAATATAAATGCGGCTACCGCCACGCCTGCTGAGTCTACAGCAGGGCTGAATTCGACACAAATCAAATTGATGATGGTTAATGCTCAACGAGAAATAGAAGAAAGAAAGCGTGCACTTAATAATCTGAAAGCTAAAGATCCTATTCTTGCGTCTGTCCCACAAATCGGTTTACCAGTTGCTTTAGCTACGCAAGCACTAGCAAAGAAATCTGCTGTACCAGAAGATGCTGAAAAAGCCAAAAAGATCGCAGAATTACAAGCACAAATACGTGCAAAATTGTCTAATCTAATTCAACCACCGCAGGTGCAAGATCGACCAAAACCTTTAATTTTAGACGAAGATGGACGAACAATAGATAAAAGTGGCAGAACCGTTAGCATACCGACCCTTACTCCAACTTTAAAAGCAAATATACGCGCCAAAAAGCGAGAAGTATTTAATAGAAGTCAAGTTCATGCAGATCGACATGCGCAGCAGGAGGACTCTGTAAAGTTCTTTGATGATCGTATTGCCCAGAAACCTACTGTACGGACCAAACGTTCCTTACGCTTCCATGAACCAGGAAAATTTCAGCAAATAGCAGAGCGTTTGCGCATGAAAGCACAGTTGGAGAAACTTCAAAATGAAATTTCGCAAATTGCACGCAAAACTGGTATTAGTTCTGCCACAAAGTTGGCCCTCATCGCGCCAAAACAAGATACGCCAGACGATGTGCCAGCAATGGAATGGTGGGATTCTGTAATTCTAACACAGGATTTGAATACGTCGGATGAAAGTGGAAAGATTAGTATCAGGCACTCAGCCATCACCAATCTCATTGAACATCCCACACAAATGAAGCCACCAAGTAAGTTAAGTCTTCGAAAATGCTTAAAGATAAATTTTTTTTAATCTGATAAGTAGGAACGTTGAACTAATTTGATTATTTCTTTGCTTAACTAAATTCCCCTTCTTTTTGTACTAATAGATGAACCTTTAAAGCCAGTCTATTTGCCTGTTTTTCTTACAAAGAAGGAGCGCAAAAAGCTTCGCCGTCAAAATCGTCGGGAAGCATGGAAAGAGGAACAGGAAAAAATCCGTTTGGGTCTGGTAGCTCCACCTGAACCAAAACTTCGCATTTCGAATTTGATGCGTGTTCTTGGTACTGAGGCTGCACAAGACCCAACTAAAATTGAAGCACACGTACGCGAGCAAATGGCTAAACGCCAAAAAGCACATGAGGATGCCAACAACGCAAGAAAACTAACAGCAGAGCAGAAAAGCGAAAAGAAAATACGCAAGATCAAAGAGGATACTTCTTGCGGTGTCAACGTTAGCGTATATCGTATACGAGATTTACAAGACAATGCTAGCAAGAAGTTCAAAGTGGAGACGAACGCCAAACAATTGCACATGACTGGTTCGGTGGTACTTTTTCGCGATTGTTGCGTCGTCGTGGTCGAGGGTGGGCCAAAGCAGCAGAAGAAATACCGTCGAGTTATGCAGCACCGAATCAAGTGGGAAGAGGATATGGTGAAAGGGCCCGACGGCCAAGAAATACCGAACACATGCGTGCTGGTTTGGGAGGGCACTAGTCAACGTCGACACTTCGGTGAAATAAAATTCAAAGTATTTCCGATGGAAAAAATGGCACGGGAATTCTTCCAGAAGCATCAGGTTGAACACTATTGGGATTTAGCTTATTCTGGCGCTGTTTTAGAAGCATCTGCAGATTCCTAAAATCTATTCAGAAGTTGAGTCTAATACCTAAGGCAAAATTTCGTTATGTAAATTTCGATGAAATATTTTAGTTAAAAAAGTAAATGTTTTTCTCTATTTCGAATGAATGTTTATAATCTTTAATCCGAATCATCGTTAGCTCCAACATTTGACGATTCAAAAATTGCCCTCATGGCTTTCTGCTTTTCCAACTGTTGTTTAACTTTGTTAATTAATACATAACGCAGTGTATCCAAAATGCGTTCATTCAAAGTCAATGTATGTTCCGTAAGTCGTTTGAGCGTTTCTGGTTTGAAATATCCCTTTTGGAAGCATTCGGTAATCTGGTCCACTGCCGCCAAACTAGCAGTAACAACTATACCGTGCTCCTCGTCGGCCGCAGAGTCGCTTATGGTCGAAACTAACTGCTCAATTACAGCTGAAATTAGAAATAAATAGCTTGAGGTGTTTTTAAAATAAACTCTCTTCACTTACCGTTTGGGTTTACGAACTCTACATCTCTGTATTTGCATACTGTTGACGCTGTAATTAGATCGTAAGTAGCAATACCGGCATCCACCAAAGCAGCGCCGCAGCAATTAATTGCGGTACTAAGCGCACATCCGTCGTCATCCAATATGATCACTTTAATTTCTAGTTGAAAGTACGGAAATTCATGGCGGCAAATAGCAGGCTCTAGTGCTTTTTTCAGCGCCAATGCCATAGATGTTTCCTTTCTCGGTATACATGAGGGATCTTTAACCGCAAAGGGTGCATATTTTAGTGTACACGTTACTATGCCCAGTGTGCCACTAAAAAAAAAAAAACGTGAAGCATTAAAATATCACATTTTTCATGAGGCCACTCACATTTTTCTGGTCTGCTTACTTAGCTCACGTGGTGGTTCTATTGATGCCATTACCTTTGTATTACCATATTCCATGTAGGCCGAACCCTTTACAGTTGCCAGTGCACCGACTTTTAAGACTGCAACGAACTCATTAAACATTGCTCTTAATAAAAAATTACGTTACCTACATGTGGATCGTTCCTCCAACTGCAAGCTGGCTGGCTTCCAAAGTTTGGCAAATACATCATCCGGATTTTCGCGCTTTATATATAAGGAATAGGGCACTGACTGTTCAGGATACATAAATTTTCGACTAGCTGACGGTGGTGGCATTGTGAAGTTTTTGTATGTTTATTGTTAAATAAGAGAAGATTAATTTAAAAGAAGAAAAGTAAATGAACTTGATGGAAGGAAAAGACGGGCCAAATGCGAGAGAGTTGCCAGATCCAGTTCTTTGATTTGCTGAAATGCTGTAACGCAAAAAACCATTTTTCCTCCAGGTATATAAATGTCAGATGTTTTTTACAAAACTATTCATTCAGGCAAAAATTCTTACACGCAACAATTTAATTCTGCAAACAGATCGTCAGCTGAGCATTTCTATACATCACATACATAACTAATTTACACTTTTCTTCAACTAAAGAGGAGGTTAGTTCAACATGACAACACGTTTTAAAGCGTTTTAAGGATTGACTTTAGGTAAATTGAGTGTTTAAAGTGGCTGACAAAAATTTTGGCTAATTTCAGTTTTCGTTGTTTTCTTTGTTTTGTTTAATTTTCTTTCTTTTTCCAGTGAAACCAGATGGCGTAGAACCCGCCCAAAACATCGAAATTTTTCACTCTTGTTCTTGCGTGATCTTGTGTTATTCGTTCACTGGTTGGGCGATAAATCAATGCGTGTGTAGGGCCTCTTACGATTATCCTTAGTTGCGTTCGTTAACAAAATTAGCCAACACCCATAAACCAACGACTACAGATCACCTAATCAGCCATCGTTGTATTTGTAATCGATTTTCGGAAACAAGTTTTCGTAGCGTTTTTGACGTTTTTCGGGTTTGTTTACACCGTCTTCTACCTCTTCGTAGTGATTTTTTGGGTTGGCTTTCCTTTATGGTCGTTCTTAAAGGGGCGGTGGGCGAAAGGTAAGTGGGCGTGGCACCTCTAACCCACCTTTTTGGAGAGGGAATAAACCGCCATTGACAAAAATGCAACCCCCGACCACATAGGTCCCCTATGGTTCCCTAGGGACCCCTTAGAAAAATTGCCAAAAATCAGAAATTTTATTTGCGTTTATTCGCTTGAAAAATGTTGAATATTCCTTTCCACAATACATTTTTATATACACATTTTTATAAAACACCCAGTAACCAAAATAGACATCACTGGGGCGGCAGCCCCAGGTTTACCACACAGAAAGGGAATTCTAGTTACCTCATCCTTTCCCAAGGTTACATCAATGGGGCGGTAGCCTCAGTTAGGTCACACAGAAACGAGAATTCTACGTAGTAAGGGTTATAATCCCTAAGCGCGGCCGGAAAGGAATTCTACGCAAAAATACCGTGGACGCAAGTAAAAATTGCGATTTTTGGCCATTTTTCAAAGGGGTCGGTAGGGAACCATAGGGGGCCTAGGTGGTCGGGGGTTGCATTTTTGTCAATGGTGGTTCATGCCCTCTCCAAAAAGGTCGGTTGGAGGTGCCACTCCCCCTCGCCACCGCACCTTTAACGAACGGCCATAATGGAAAGTTTCCCCGATTTTTTAGCGATTAAATGTGTTTTCTGCAGCGATTTTAATTATAAATTTTGGTTTATTACATATTCATGATATAAAATGAAGTGCTGTGTGATTGGAACAAGTTTGTGCGTATGTTTGGTTTGCCAAAAGGCGTAAATTTGCGTAAAAAGTGGGTGCACGTTTGTAGCCAGAACGTTGGCATTGAAAAATCGACCCGTGGTAATGATAAGTTCATTCCCTAACAATCCGGACCGGATTCGGTAATTAGAGAATAAGCGAAAAGTTTGCTCTCATAAAGTGGAACATAGTCCAGAAGTACGGGAACGCAAAAAAAACACATTTCGCGCCCAGAATTTGAGAAACAGCTGAATCACGTTGTTTTTGTTTTTGTCACTTCATTTGAAATTGAATTTTTATTTCACAAATTTGATTTCAAGTATATAAAAATTGAAAATACAGCAACAGGCCATTCAATATTCCTTAAAAGCACCAAGTAAATACAGCCAAAATGTAAACACAAAACAGCTGATATGCACTTTGACACTTTATCCATTTTTACCCGGAGAAAAAGTAAGGGCTTTTTCGGGCAGGAAGAAGAAGACACGTAGGATCCAATACGTTCCAATTTTCGCTCTCTATTACCCATTTTGTTGTCTCGAATTTTTTTTTTTAATTTTTACCAGGTTCCGCTAAAGTGCACTAACACCTTTAGCCATATATGTAATACTCCTATATTGGCAGTAAGAGCTAGTACCGTCCGAAAACACTACAGTACAGATATATCAATAAACACGTACGAAAGAAAAAGAACACATACGTTTATAAATAAACATGTACATAACACATATACAAAAACGGCACTCAAGTACACAATGCATTGAACAAGGCGAATTAATATAAGGTGATAGCAGGAGTACAAAAACAAAAATTTACATGTATTTTGTTTTTGCTTTGGCGGCATAAACTGTCAAAATCTGTAAGAGTATGTGTAGAAATTCAAACAAAATTTTTTAATTTGATATCGGAAGCCGTGCGGCGAAACACATACACACAATCAGCTGAGCTAGTAACACCACCTTATATAAATTCGCCTTGGCATTGACAAAAACGGTACTAGGCTGTCTCGCTTTTATTCCGGAATGCTTACACATTGAGAAGTTAGCTTACTGCCAATATAGAAGTATTACATATATGCCTTTAGCTGAACCTAACGACAACGTTGATGGATGAGCCGACCCGGGCGGGGTTTAGTAGCCGCTCTAACAAGAACAACTCGATGTTGCAAAAAATTTTAGATTGTGTAGACCCCGCTTTAGCTTCTGTTAATTCCGATAACTTTCCCTCATCTCCAGTTATCACCTGTCATATATTTCTTGGTTATTGGCTGCACAGTTCATCTGATTTGACATTTAAAAAACGCACTGTAATTCTTGCTGAGTACTGGTGATTAAACGAAAAGAATCAATACATCCTTTGAAAATCGTTAAAAAATGGTTGCTCCAAAGAAGGAAGAAAAATCTGTAGCTGAGGTGAAGAAAGACCAAGTGAAAGATGCACCGGGAAAGGAGGCAAATAAAGACGCCAAAGACGAAGGTAAGGAACAGGAGCTTTCCGACGAAGATCAACAGTTACAAGATGAACTAGAAATGCTTGTTAGTCGCCTGCAAGAGCCCGACAATTCCCTATACTTGCCAGCACTGGAAATGCTGGCAAAGCTAATAAGAGCTTCTACTACATCCATGACTTCGGTGCCGAAACCTTTGAAGTTCATGCGGCCTCATTATGACACTATGAAATCGGTGTATAAGCAGATGCCCGATCAGCAAACGCGACAATTGTGCGCTGATATTATTTCTGTACTTTCCATGACTATGGGCAGCGGTAAAGATTGTTTAGCGTACCGTTTCCTTTGCGATCGGTCGCAAAAAATTGGAGATTGGGGTCATGAGTATGTACGCCACTTGTCTGGCGAAATAGCGGCGCATTATTTGGATACATCTGAAGAATTTCAATCACAGTTGATTGAATTGGTCAAACAGATTATACCGTATAATATGGAACATAACGCTGAAGCAGATGCTTGCGATTTGCTTATTGAGATTGACCATCTGCATTTGTTGCAAGAATATGTGGATGAATCGGCATATCCACGCGTTTGTTTATATTTACAATCTTGCTATCCGTATGTGCCCGAACCAGATAATACTATAATTTTGGAGACTGCTTTGCAATTGGCACGCAAATTTAAACAACACACGCAAGCTTTGCGTTTGGCATTGATGCTGAATGATATGGATAAAATCACTGAAATATTTAAGGAACCTAAAGACGCCGCGGTACAAAAGCAGCTTGCTTTCATGCTAGCCCGCCAGCAAGTGTGCCTGGAATTAGATGAGTCTGTGCCAGATTATGATGATCTAATGGAAATCATGTCCAATGCGAATTTAAATAAACATTTCTTGAATTTGGCACGTGAACTTGATATCATGGAAGCCAAAACACCGGAGGACATATACAAATCTCATTTAGATAATGCA